GGACCTCCAATCCGGTATAAATAACATATATATATCACGACTGTAGTAGACATCCAAAATGATATTTCAAAGTTCAATTAGCTTAGTTTGATTCCAGTAAAGGCCCATTTCCACTCAAGAAAAATTTCCATGGACCGAAAATGTTCCAAAAATATCATTGTACTGAACGAAGATGGAGCTGGAGGCCTTCACTCAAATTGCATAATTAGGTATTTTCAAACTTGCAAGAGCCGAGATCTATCATCTTGGTAATCATTTACACTGTCTGAAGATCTAACAATAATTATGAAAAATAATTCTGAATTAGAAACTTTTTACCTGTCTGTCCGGGCGTCCGTCTGACCTTGAGCTTGTGTGAAATACAACTATTATTAATAATATATATTTAGTACATACCCGAATCTTCGCCTTCTTGAGGTAATACTCCAGTTTCTTCATCAAAGTCAGGATAGTCGGCCTTATCCAGAACTCCAGCTGATATAAGCTAAATGAGGATAAAACATGATAAAAAAGTAGTGCATATTCTGGAATGAAAATCTGCATCAAGAAAACACATATTTTATAATTTCCATATAACTGCAGAACATGCTTGTGTGATGTTACTCTGAGTGTATACCCACACCGGGTAGGCTTAAAAATATGCCTGACCACGGTGGGATTCGAACCTACGACCTTTGGAATACTAGCCCAGAATACTACAAATTTCGCAAGGCTATATTATCCGCATTTTACAACATTACGCACGGAAGTGATAACCATTTCCCGTTTGTAATCTAAAATGACTGAAAATTGCAAACTTCGCAAGGCTATATTATCCGCATTTTACAACATTTTAAAACGAAACTTTGGAATATTACTAATTTTGTAATGCTCTTTCAAATGCTTACTGACCTTCATGCGGCACAGGGAAGTAATAGAAACAAATGAGCCGTAACAGGGATTGCTTTAACTTACATATCATTATATTTATACAATATACTAACAAGTCTTCTTCACAATGAGCATAGGGAGTTTTAACTTCCCTCCTTGGCAAATAAGCGAGCGTTGCGTTATACCACTGAATAATATCTAACACTGTAATAGAAAAGCTGACCAACCTGCTTGATCTCCCATTTCTCAGGAGATGTGACGCGTTGTACTTTTCGTTTATCTCTCGCGGAGTCGTCGTCGTAAACAGGAACGGATGCAACTGAAGGTCTAGTAATGAACAGGATTTATTAACAACATTATGATAAAATAATCCTGAGAAATTATCCTTACTCTCATAGTCTTAGCGTCCGTAGTTTGTGTCCAGGAGTGTACATAATTAGATAGAAATTTCTTGTATACATACATACAGTGGGCGATGTCATTATAATGCATGCATGGTAAATATCAGGCTTGCAGGTTTCATTCCTGCCTTTAGTTGCATTTTTCGCAGCTGCTCCTTGTTTTTGTTTTCTCTGTGCAAAACCACCCCGAAAATGCACAAAATGGCAATAGCATGATTAAACAATTACAGTTCAGCCTCGCAACTAGTATTTAAAACCTGAGTTTTTACTATTCTTGATCAGTGATTATCATTTTTTTTTCTTCGGACTGCTACTGGATATGGAAAGAATGTGATCCTTCCAAAAGCGAAGGTGAGGAAAAAAGTAAGTGCGGTGTGGGGTGTGCTAATCATCCTTACTTGCAGCTGAGAGCTAAGCTGAATTACGAAGGACGCAGCTCAACCTGATACAGTCCAAGGCGTACTGTACTATATAAGGGCGCCTATGGCAGCGACCTTACGAATCATGTCTGATCACGGAGTACAGCTATGATGGAAGGGTCAGTTATGGGGCTAATCCCAACCCACGCTGTCAACATTCCCTTTGGGAGGAAACCGTAGTACCCGGAGAAAACCCACGACTTTCGGTAGAGCGTTGACTGACTCGTCACGTGATTAGTACCCATGTCTGTTTCAGGTAGTTCAGACCTGGGTGAACCACGCAATTTAAAAGTGCTGTAGAATGTTAACTACACTAGACCCAGGGCTTGAATTTTATCGCGGCAATTACCGTAGAGCGAGAACAAAATGCCGTGGATTATAGCGGCAACGACGGCAATTTTTTGCCGTATAGTGTAATATTTATACTATTCACTGTGTATTACTATTTTGATACATGAATTCAGATGTTGATCAAATCATGCGTAAATTACTATTTTAGTTTCAGTTTTCTTCGAAAAAAAACCCACTTAGAGTAATACGTAAACATGTTTCTAGCTTGTCAACAATTCAAAGTAACAATAAACTTAAATCTTTATTAATTTGAAAAAATGCCGTGGAAACTGCCAAAATTGCCGTACAGACAGCTTTTACGTTCTACGGCAATTCTTAACGCCATTGCCGTCCAAACCACTCATCGTTTGGGACACCCTGGTATTCATGTTTATAACCAAAATACGAGCGGAAGAATAGGAAGAACCAGACACATCAATGCGACTATTCTACGTCTGATACATCCTGAAGAGCTAATAAAAATAACTCCATGCAACACTGAATTCACAGTGAATATTAGGAGATCACATCCAATCAGCAAAAGTTATATACGTGTAATGGCTAACCACGAGAGCCAACGAATTAATATTTACCTGTCTGGGTTTCTCGTCATTGCTGACGACTCGCCCTGCATGTTATGTCGCATTCTTGTTGGATTTAAATCTTCTCCCGTGCCTTGATCTACGTCCTGTAAAATGTTAACAAGTATTCAAGTAATTGCACACCCGGGGACAGTTGTTCAAAGGTTGGTTAGCGCTAACTCTCGGTTAAAGTTTAATCCGCTGTTTTGGTTTGTGTATTTCTGCACGTTTGTTTATTTAAAGGCTTCAGAGAAGTGAGCTCCTACTGATCCGGACAAGATATCTGAAGAAACATTTCCAAATTTAAAGACAAGCTGTCAGGAAGTTAGCTCTGAACTTTAGGTTAACCTAGGGTTAAGCTGGTCGTCTTTCGAACAACCGACTCAAGGGGGCCAGTTGTACGCTGGCCAGCCGGATAGGGATTTTTTCAACCTTTGTAAAAATTATTGAAAAGCTGCAAAACTACGGTTATAAACGTCAAAAGAAGTGTAAAAAAACATTAACTCATAAATCTAAATTTTAATCTGAGTTATATCAATCAAGAGATAATTAATTTTTTAGAAAGCTAGAAAAATTGCCATCCGGTGGCTTGCCTTTCCTTAAGCCGCCCCCTGTAGGTCATTCCTTTGTTTAGGAAGGTCGTGAATGAGACATAATTTGTGTCCAGTTTCACCTACTACTAAGTTTACTTTTATGTTAAAAGCAAAAATATAAATATACATACCTTCATACTCAGGCTAATTTTCGTGCCAGTCATAGACAAAACTTTCACTTTGACTTTCTGACCTCGGCTTACAACATCTGCAACGTTAGCTACCCGGCCTTCTTGACGAAGCTAAAGAAATTATTAATTTAATATACTGAAAATCCTCGCTAACTGCAACTGTGCAGAAACTTGAAAAACCTCACATATTTTAAATACGGGAATATCGGGGCATCCTGCAATACAGCAATACATATGACTCAGCGATTTATACAGTATATGTTGTTTATAACGTAATTTTCCCCGAGCCGGCGGCGCGAAGCGCCGTGCGAGGGTACTAATTCCCCCCGGCTATTTACACCCGGGGAAACGAAAGCATTAGGGAAGTCTGAAGTTCATCAATCGTCTGAAGTCTGAAGTGCGCATCAAAAGTCTGACACATCAAAAGTCTGAAGTGCGCGGGCGTCGGTCACCAACGATGGGTGGTCATCCTCACTGATCTCAAAAATATGGCGGACTGTCATTAAAAGCGGACACTGATTGGTCCAATTTAAAGTTTGCATTATAACGGCTGCATGACGAC